CCAAACGGCTGGCGCGAGAGATGCGGGGAATGAGAAATGACCCCAACACATCCACTTCTCGCTCGCTCGAACTCCCCACGTCGGTCCGGCCTTGCGCAACGTCAGGGACTCCACCCGGACCTCCGGCGCCAGGCCGCGAACGGTGACCAGCAGCCGGTTGGTGTTCACCGCTCCCGGGCGCTCGCCGCCGCTCGGGGGCAGCGTCACGCCGTTGGCAGTGACCGTGAGCTCTGCCGGCGGGTCGTTCCTTGAGACTGGGTCGTCTGGCATGGAAACTATCGAAACCCAAACAACATGTATGTTACTCTATGTTCAAGGGCCCATGAAATGTCAAATGGAAGTCCATGGAAGGACCTTCCGGTCCGTCCATGAAGGGGCAAAAAGTGCAAACAAAAGTTGCAAGTGCGGCGCTTAGGTTCCAGGTGGTGACCCCTTGATACTCCACAGTGGCAGAGCCAAGCGCATCCCACAGACCTCAGCTCAGAGCAGGCCCTGCACATTTGGGTGCATTTTGGACCAACCATGTAGGCAAACGGTCCCGTGAGACACAAACAAGATCCTTCGTTCCCCAAGACGCGCGAAAAATAAGAATGGGTGTGTGGTGGAAGTTGGGTGGAGCCCACCCCCGGCTTGCAAACCGTCCACCGGAAGGCCCAAGGGCCCGAGTCTCCAGCCCAGTGGCTGGCGTGGGCCCTGTCCGCAAGTCCAGCGAACTGTGCAGCGAAGTACGCGGCCGTGGACTCCGACTGGGCGACTCCGACTTCAGCGTCCAGCGCCTGTTGGTGATGGGCGCGTAGAGCAGCTCCCAGCGGCAAGAGACAAAGGATTCGCAGACACATGGTGAAGGCTGGTGGCTAAGCAAAACTGCTTGAGCCAAGCTGAAGGGACAGTTGTTGTTGGCGCTTGGAGACTGGCATGAACGAAGCGCAAGAAAGCAGAACCTGCAGCATTCACAGTTTTTACGGGCGCTAGACCCTGCGTTCCCGGATACTCTGACTTTTGAGCAGTTAGGGCAATGATCACCCGCCCTTTTGCAGTGCTTCTTTTGGGCGCCGAGAATTGGCTCTCCAGCGCTCGCCTTACTTTTTCCGGCGCAAGCAAGGCAGAAAACTCTGCGATTCCGCTCAAAGGCCAGGGCCTTTCTGACGTCAAAACTACCGGAGGCGCTGGCCCATCGTCCATGCGCCAAGGCCGGACATGGCTAGGGGGTCCAGGCTTTGGCTGTCTAGCCGGGGCTCCCGCGTCGCTTGCAACGGGAGAATTGCCATAAAAGCGGTGGGGCTGCACGAATGGCTGGAGCAATAATATATTTGATATCGCTTGTTTGCTGTGTTCAAACATGGATCAGTTAAAAGCAGGCGCTGCAGCTCAAGACTGAACATGTGTGAAATTCAGCTACAACTGTGACATGAGGTAGTTTGCCGCCATGAGACATGTGACAATTCTGCTGCCGATCGAAGGTGTTGCGAGCCGCAAGCAGGCTTCACGATGATCCAAAGGTTGAACTTGACTGCTAAACTGAGCTCTTCCAAATGCAGGTTGGCCGATTCTATCGTCAATCGCATTAAGTAGCCCAGCCTAGCTAGATGCATCGTATTTGCCTGCTGCCGCTAAAGGCATCGTGCAACATGATGAATGCCCGGACCCCAGTTTCTTTCTGCAGCAAGCTGGGAGACCAGAGGATAAATTGCTCACGAGGCCTTTTTGACGGATATGACCACAGCTAGCTCGCGCATGCGATTCATGAATTGGAGCTCAACATCCGCGTGCAAAACATCCAAGTACAAACATGGTAGGACATCCAAGGGCCGCCTCAACAAGCATTGGACATTGCAGGAAGAACAAACGAGCAAAGGGGTGCAGCCTGTGTTCCGGCCTGCTTCCCACAACGCACCTTTGGCAGCAGTTCCACCATTGCCCATCTTCACCCCTTTATAAGACGAAACAGAAGGCTCATCGATCTGGAGGGTCCCAGCGGGAAGAGAGGATTCCTCACTAAAGAGATACTTTGAATGAACATTCGGGAACGTATTGACAAGGGGTTAACATGGGCTATGTGATGTGGTGCCTGCAACACAAAGCCAGGCCACTTAGGCAGCATCTGACTTGCACCCTGACTTGACTTCATGCGTGGCCCAATGGAGACAAACAACCGCCTGATCAACAAATTTGATCTGCCAGGTAGTGGGATTGATCATGATGAATCATCGCGGTATCTAACCTCCAAAATGAAAGCTCATGCGTCCCAAAATATGGGCGTGTCTTGCTTGAGTGGACCCAGCAAAATGGTGGTTTGCTATTGGATTGCCTCTAAATCCCCCCCCCACCCCCAAAAGGGCACCCCCCCGAGAAAAGGGCACCCTCCAAAAAAGACCGACCTATATCATCCCGCAATAGCATTAGAAAGTCCAGGTTAAGAATGACCCTGGCCAGTCATTGAGCGCGGGCTTTTTTTCCTCGGACCAAGCATCCGTGAGACAAACCCCAGTCGCCCCGCACCCAACGGAACCAGTGGCTTCCCCAACACCACACCTCCCCCGTCGCGAATGTGAAGACAGTGCTCCCTTCTTGGCAAATGCGAAGGCAGCAAACCAGCAGAAGCCTACGAAAGCTTAAAGCGGTGCAGCATCCGCCTACTTTTTTGAGCTGTCTGTTGGTACCAAGATTCAAACCTATGGTGGCCCGGAAAGACCTGGCGGGTGATATTGCGAAATCGAGCCAACAAAATAAAAATAAACTCGCATTTGATTCAGAGGGCAAAGTGCTGATGCTTACAAGGGTGTCCTGCAGGTGAATGAAATAATTTGACAAGGGCTAGTAAATCAACTTTCAAGGTAAAATCTTTGAAGTAAAGCTTGGCTCCTCGGAGAATTCACATATACCTATGAGGATGACAACCACATCCGTGTCTCATTGATGTTCGAAAATGATCATTCGATGCCTGCGTGAATCGGGGAAAATAACAGCCACCTCTTGATCTACACCCAAAAAAGCTCCCTCAAATCAAGACTTTCCTGCGCGCCTCTTCTTTTCAACCCAAATGGCTTGCGCTACGAGGAGCCACTGGGAGAAGCCTAGCAGTCCATCCGACTCAGCGCCGCATGGGCAGCCACCACCGGCTGCCAGGCCTGCGGGGACACTAGGGCTATGATGAGTCAGGGTTGGTAAAGGCTGGTGATGGCTAGGGGGCATGCCAATAAAACTGCAATAGTTATGACCAGTACCAATAAAACCACCAGTGAAATTAATTTTATGTGGTTGTCCTTATCCAATAAAATCCGTTCGGAGTTCCCAGCAAAGCTCAATCTGCCAGATGCTTGTATTCCGACCAGGGCAGAAACAACTCCATTGAAGTGTTCTGTTGCTAGTCCTCAGCCTGTTGCCGTCACCACGGGTTGCTCTGGTACCTCCATCTTCCCAATCATTGTTGATTTGCATCTTGCTCTCGCATTCTGCGAGCTGGCGCAGCGTGTGATATGCCAAAAATCCAAAAGCAATGGCCGTGCAGCAAAAAGCACAACCAACAAAGACAGCGAGTATCAATGTGTGTGTCGCGGGTGTCAACACACACAGCCGCAACTGCTGCACCTCAATGCTCCGATTTTGGGCTCAAGTCTTGGGGGAACTTAGACGGTTTCCAGCACCCCCAAACCGCTGCCCCCAGGACATTTTGGGCATATACCCTTTTTCAGTGGCTATAAAGTAGCTGTTTCTCGAAACAAACTCTTCGGGGTCTAGGTTCGGGGGTACTGGAAACCATCTTGGAAGCAAGCCACCACCTCGACCACTCCTCTCTGGAACCCCCGTTCATAACGATAGAGCGAGAGACACACATACCAGAAGCTTGATGTTCAATTGCCGTGCACTGCTTATGCCATGAGAAGGATATCCAAATCGCAGCACCATTTATGGCAGCCGTTGACCTGCCTCCTCACCACTTCCACTGACACCGCGTAGCGCTTGGCAGCGGCGGGCCTCGACTCTGGAAAAGAAGAGTGTCAGAAAGGCTACATGTGCGGGTCAAAAAAATAGGTACCCAAAATGGATCCCCGGTAAATGGAAGCAAGGACTAATCCCTGCGGTCCCCTGGTGGTTTAATTTTGATCCATACCCATTTCTGGCTGGCTGGCTGAATGCGTGGAAACCGTGGAAATGTCTTGCTGGATTTCGGCTGCATGGACGAAAGGGATGCCCTAGCGAAGCTCCCCCGACCCATCGAAACCGGTGGGACCCGCGCCAAGGCTCTCCGCCGGTTGCCTGTCGGCGAACACGCCGAGGCGCTCCAACCAGAAAGCCCGCAGAGAATGCGGTGGAAAACGCAAAAACGCTGGGACTGAGCAAGAGAGCTCCTTGCATTTGCTCAGAATTGGTCCAGCTTCAAACAAAATGCCAACACCTCTGAACCTATTTCGCCTGCACCTGTCCATCTATCCAGCGGCGCAGCTAGAAACAGCATATGGAAGTCAACTTTAAGCGCTTTGGATTGAAAGGGCCAAGAAAGCTTTACCCGTTCGGCTCCTCGGAGCCTCAATGGGTCATACCATCAACACACACACACACATGATCGGAGCTGGATGTGTGTGTATATATATATATATACACACATACATATGTACATATATATATATATGTACATATACTAGTATGCTATACTATATAACTACTCTATACTATATTATACTATATCATGTGCAACAAGGGATGTCAGGTAGTCCCAATCCCAACCCACAGCGCGCGAAGTCTGTGGGCGCAATCACTTTCTCTCCATGTGCGCAGCCGAATGGCTCGGTAAAGGCCCTAGGGCAATGACCCGCCACTTGGGCCCAAAAGATACACATGTGGCCATGTCAAGTGTGTGGCACACACTTCACACGCGGGGAAGTTTTCATCCCCATGGCGCACATGTTCTGCACATAGTCATCTCAGCCCGCTTATCCCGCATTTGTGGACAGGTGGGGCTCACATGGATGCGCTTGCCAGAAGGTGTTATGAAATACCTTCGGCCCCGCATGTTCTCGTAGTCATACGTGACGCTCGCCAGCTCGTTCTCGAAATACAGTGCATCATCACGAGCCAGCTTGAGGCGTGCTTCAGCGTGCTGAAGATCTTGCTCTAGCTTGTCAATCTTCTCGGCCATTGTGGCCAACCTTCTGCGGCTCCACGAGGTGCTGCACCATGCAGTAGCCATCATCATAGCAGTGATCATCATGAAGAAGATGATCTCGAAGAAGTACTCCTCGAAGAAAACCGCATAGGGGAGGCAAAATGCCTCCATGCCTGCAGTGCCAACTGCACTGACATTGGAGCCCTCAACTCCTGTTGCTGCCGCCATTGCAGTTGCAGCGCCCAGAATGGTAGCCGCACTGCCTTTTCCGCCTCGACCTTTGCCACGTGCCTTGCCCTTGCCCTTGTGCGTGGTCTTCTCAGCCTGGTTCTCGTCAGTGGTCGCGCCGTTGACGTTGCCCCGCACCTGCTTGGACTCGAGCTTCTGCTCCTTGGTCTTGCGCTTCGCCGCCTGGAACTCAGGGTCGTGGACCAACTTCACGTACCCGCCCTTCAGGATGTCAGCCATATCCTGTCGGGAGGCCAATTTGGTAAGGCCATCTGCAAGTTGCCGCTCGGAGCTGACCCATCTCCACTGGGCGTTCATGGTCCGGATGGACTCCTTGATGCCCAAGATCTCCAGGGCAGCTCTCTTGTCCAGGGAGGACTGGATGCTCTCCCGGCGTACGCTGTCGTACAGCGCCTTGGCGTCTGTCACAATGGCACACGGCTGCTCGCCGATCATCTTGTCATACTCCTTTATCCCACGCCGCGGCTCCTTCATGTAGGCATAGAAAGCCTTCACCATGAGGAGCTCGTCCAGGCCAACTGCACAAG